TAGCTAAGATCCCATCCCATCCCTCCCTCATTTGTTATCATTGTTGTCTACTTAATTGCATATTTCACATGAGCAGGAAATTTCTTACCAAAGAGTAAAGATGATTTCTCAAAATTAATACACTAACCTAAGGCTTTCTGATAAGTCTTAAGCGCTTATGACTTCATCACATTCACGGAGCACCACCTTACAGAAGCAAAATCTATCATCAGCAAAGAGAATGTGAGATACCAGAGGGCTAGCGCGTGATACGCGCATCTCCGTTATCTTCCCTTGATTCTTTGAAAATTTAGAAAGTCAACGCGCGCTTCCGTACGTAAAAGAAAGATGAAAAGAGATAAAGGATCTCCTTTAATCTCTTCTTAGGAGTTATATTTCCTCCTGGCTGACCATTGAATTGTACTGAAGAAACACAACGCCTTATCCATTCAACCCATAGGTCTAAAAACCCATCTTCTTCATGACCGCACTAATAAATTCTTATTCCAATCGGTCATAATATTTACTCATGTATGTCTTTATTGCCATTCCCTTATTTTCCGCTCCAGGTTCTGTGTGTATTTACTCATGCTATCAATACATTATCAGTTATTTGTCACCCAGCAATAAATGCTGATTGAATTTCAGAAATTTAATTCGGTAATACCTTCTTTAATGTTTGGCATAAGACTTTAGATATTATCTTTTAGCTGGCATTGCAGAGTCTGACAAGCCAAAATTCGGACATTTTATTCGATTTTCTTTCTTTGGAAAGAGATAAATATTAGCATCATTGAGTCCATTGGTAATAATTCTATCGAAAAGAAACTCATTAACCATACAAGTTAAATCATCTTTCACAATATCCAAAATTTCTGATAGAACAATGCTGTCAACACATCAGGTCCATGGGCATTTTCAGGGTGCATAACGAATAAAACCAGTTTGATCTCTCATTCTGTAACAAGAGATTTAAGGTATGCATTCAGACAATCAGATATTGTCATTGAGGTATTTGCCAAGGTTTAGTCAAAGAGTTCATCAGGATTAGATGTCTCAAAGAGTTATTTAAAGTAAATAGTAGCGATGTGTACCAATTTCTCCTCATCCTGGACAAGATACCTTGCGGAATTCAGAAATCCGGTAATCCTATTGTTGGCTCTCTTATGTTTGGTAATAGCATGAAAGAATTTGGTGTTTAAGGCTGTCCCAATTTCTTATGTTCATGCATTATCATCCGAGTAGAAATTATCTACCTTTGACTTTAGATCTTTGACTAATTCGGTAAATTCCAACCGTCTTAAATAACTTATCGAATTTCTTCTCTATCCAACCAGCGTTTATCAAATTTGAAAGTTTTCTTTCTCCTAGTTGGTTTTGATAAATAACTAGAGTATCAAACGATAATCCAAACCCCACATACGTAGATACTGAACTTTAGAGTGTGGAAATTTCTCATGCCAATTCTCAGTATCCTGAGCTCGGTCCAGACGACACCAAACATTACCATGAGGTATTTTACCAGCCCATGAAATTTGGTTCCCCATACATGGGAATTCTAGCATACTATAATCCGATATCATTTGATTAAACAAAATAAATAAAGTATCAGATCTTCTTATTATTCTTTCTTTCTCATGGTGTCATGTTATTTCATTAAAATTACCTATCATGGACCAAGTTCCATCTCTAGTTGTTGCAAAATACGTTAGACGTTCCCAAACTTGATCACTTCTTTTTGGAACAATGTCCCATAAACGAATGTCATATAGACATTTATTCCATTAATGACAGCTTTTACATCAATCATTCGATTATTTGAAAATAAAATAGCAACTTAAAATTCATCCATAAAAAACAAAGCTAAACCACCGCTTTGGCCAAGAGGCTCCACAATAAACAAATTATTAAAACCTAAGTCAGCCGAATGTTTTGCAATATCAGCTTCTTATTCTTCGTTTCATAATGTAACAAGAGTCATGGGCGATACTTCTGACACATCTTCGTGAGGCGTCGAACTGTGAGCTTGTTCCCTATCCCTCGGCAGCTCCAGCTGATTATCTTCATTGATGAAGGTAGGGCGGATGTTTGGCATCCACTGTACCTTTCTTCTGAGTACTTGTACCAGGTTTTGGCTTCCTTGAAACATTGGTCAGCTGCTGTCCCCTTCTTCCTCGAGTAACACTTCCTATCTGTGCTGGTGATTTTGCATTAATTCTTGGAGAGGCTCTATGCTGATATCCTTCATGTGAGGCCGAGACCAATGATCAAGCAACACTCTTTTTATTGCTTTCTGGTTGGGATTGTTATTAGAATCCTCATCATCATTTTTCTCTTTAGCTTTGATCATAAGAGCTGAGATATTCTGAGCCGTTTCCTGATATGGTTCTGAACCTTCATGATCTTACTCTAGGTAATACAAATGCTTGAATTCATCACCCCATCACAGCATCTTTATCCAGCAACATCTCCTCATCTTTCATCTGTTCTCTCGGCACTTGATCATCTTCACCAGAGCATTTCTCTTAAGTGCATCATAGGGAGGAATGAGATCATCAACTTCAACCTTCTGTTTCTCACAAGAACTAAGAGAACTCCCTGATAATTGTCTAAAAGTTACATTGTGATCATCAAAGCGATTTCTTTTGCTCTTGCTCGTATTATCGATGTCATTCAAGCTTCATGTAACAGACTGCGGCGTAACAATCATAGGAGCTGGACCTGATCCTTACTCCTTGTAAGCCACCTACCCCTTTTCCCTTTTATTATCGATTCTCAAAGGCTTAACATGTTTTTCCATACTCGACCATATTAGTCTCTAGAAATCTTCCATCAGAGGCCTGATCACGGGAATTAGTATAAGGTTCGTACTGTGTTCCCATAGAGTTATTGTCTTGTTGTACACGGATTGAGTGAGACGATCGTTGGACAGGAAACTGAGAGCTTGAAGCATCCCTGTAAAACTTAGAAGAAGGTTCTTCTTTCAACCAAGATGTTGCATCACGTTTAGTAACCATCATTCTTCATCTGGTATTGTTTTTACGGACATGGTCGAAAACTGTCTCACGGGAAAACACTTGTCGTCGTATCACATTTAAAGGCTTTTGGTATACACTCATGGTTCTCATGTGTCATAAGAACACATGTAGAGCAGTGTTTGAAACGATTCTTGTAATGAAGCTTGATTATGATGTCCTCATTGTTCCTTGCTAGAAGCTTTTGAGTAAATTTTAATGGCTTTGAAGAATCTATAGCAACCTTGATTTTTCCATCTGTAGTGTCTATTGACTCAACTTTTCCTAGTCTATCACCAATAGCCTGGAGATTTTGTTCCGTAAACAGGTGGAGAGGGATTCCTTGGAGATGAATCCAGAATGAAACCATCGATGGGTAGTTTTCATCAACCATCGGTTCCCATTGCACAAGAACAAACATACAGAAGTTGTCATGGAAGGTTCCTTGGCTGAGGATAGACATAAGATCTTGTTATCAAAATTGATCAAAAAGCATTCATTTCCCATATTGTAGGCTGACATCTTCTCTGTCATTCCTAATCGTTCTGGTATCAAAACAATAAATCTCTCTACATTCGATTTTTTAGATTTAAGATCTTGCCAATAATAGACAAGATGTATTCTTTAATTAAGTTTTCATTAGGCTGATCTGGAAGACAGATGAGCTCATCGTAATCCTCTTCAATGAGTAGGCATTTACCCTTTTTGACATTATTTGCTTGAAATACTAAACGAACAAAGATATGCTAGTTGGATGACTGAAACTGTATGTCTTTGACTGAGAGAATCCGAAGCAAGGAGTGCAGAGATCTAGATCGAAACTATGTGAAGGAAAGGAGAACGTGATGGAGAAGTCGTGGGTCGATGTGAAAGCGTGTTTGAGTCTACGAGAAAGGGTTACTATCAGATGACAAAGATCGATCTGATGTCGAGAGGACCGACCAAAAAGTGAAACGAATAGGAGAGATCGAGATCGCAGATCGCCATCGCCAAAATCGCCATCAGAGAGAGGCTAGGACTTTCAAACTTCTTTATTTACTGTTAGCAGAAAAGTAGTATATATGGATGACATTATGCTATATATAATAGCCAATATATTCGTTTGAGAAAACGTATATTCTATTAAACTTAGTCATATTCACATCTGCAGAACTAAAAGGTCATAGACATGATTTAACCGTCCATATAAAACGCTGAAAATACGTAGGCATATTATAAGTAGATGAATCATAAAAATCAATAGACGATGGGTAAGATTAAGCGTAGATTGAAAAAAAAAGGAACCTTCGGAGCATGAAGTAAACAACTGTAAAGTAGAGATAATGCTCTCTGATTCTTTTTGCCCACTATCTACATCCCATTGAGTTCAAACTCTTTCGTTCTCTTCTCTCACTCACAGACGCATTTTGCAAGTTGATACACTTTTCTCCTCCCTATATAAATCACTGAACTTCTCAATCAACATTTACATCATACACTTAACAGATTCTCATTATGATCCTATAGTGTTTACCCGCTCGTTCACTTGCATTCGGTTTCATAGAGAAATAGAGAGGAGAGTTTTTAATAGATTATTATTATTTTCTTTACAGTAGTATTTCAGTACTTTGTGAGAGATTGAAAATATATATATATAATGGCAATTTCACTAACCGATGTCTTTGGCATTCTAGGTATATCTTCTCACGTTTCAATTCGTAAACGTCAAATGCATGCATTTTCGTGATCTATTGTGAATTCTAACATAAGGATAATTATTTTGTAGGGAATATCATTTCCTTTTTCGTTTGTCTTGCGCCACTGTAAATGCTTTATAACTCTTTGTACTTTCCTCTTATATAAAATAACGTTGTGAATCAAACATTAAACATACGTGTTGTTCCCTGGTGTTGTTTATATATTAGACCGACGTTCGTTCGTATCTACAAGAGGAAGTCTTCTGAAGGGTATCAGTGTATCCCATACGTGATTGCGCTGTTCAGTGCGATGCTATGGATATACTACGCAATGATCAAGAAGAATGTTATGATTATGATCACTATCAACAGCTTTACCTTCATCATGCAAATCTTCTACATCTCCATCCACATGTTCTACGCTCCTAAGAAGGAAAAGGTCCGTATTCAGTATTAATACAAATTCTTTATCTTGAATGTACCCACAAGAATGACTACATCTTTACCGGTGTGTTTCCATATGGTAGACTCTGACGGTGAAATTCGTCCTATTTGTGGATGTTCTTGCGTTCGGCCTTATTTTCTTCCTAACATACTTTCTGCTTCATGGAGAGAAACGTGTTCAAGTCCTTGGATACATTTGTATGGTTTTCTCTCTATGTGTTTTTGTTGCACCCCTTGGCATCATTGTAAGACTCTCTTTCATATATATTTACTTGCTCATTCATTTAAACTTCTTCTAATCAGTCAACTTAATCTTGAAAAAACACAGAGGAAAGTGATTAAAACGAAGAGTGCAGAGTTCATGCCGTTCGGTCTTTCCTTCTTCCTCACCTTATCGGCTGTCATGTGGTTCTTCTACGGTCTTCTCCTTAAAGACATGAACATAGCCGTAAGTCTAGTAGTCTTCATAATTTCCTTTTTTATATATGCTCGAGCACAGAAAGCTAATCTTTTTTTTCTTTTAAAACTATTTTCCAGCTTCCAAATGTTTTGGGTTTTATCTTTGGAGTGCTTCAGATGATACTTTACTTGATATACAAGAAACCTGGGACGAAGGTTTTGGAGCCGCCAGGGATTAACCTCCAGGAAATATCTGAGCATGTTGTCGACGTCGTGAGGCTTAGTTCGATGGTTTGCTCCTCACAGATGAGAACTTTGGTGCCACAGGACAGTGCAGACATGGAAGACACCATTACCATTGATGAGAAGATCAAAGGAGACATTGAGAAAATGAAGGAGAACAAAGAAATGTTTCTTATATCCAAGAATTAATCAGCTCTCAACTATCAAGTTTCGAGTTGTGTGTGTTTAGTTGCTTGCGTTTTAAGTTAAAGTGTAATGTTTAATCTGCATATCTCGCTCTTGTGTGACCTCTCTCTCTCATCTTGAATGTAAAATAAATTTTTATTAAATTAAATAAATAAGTTTGTTGTCAAAAAAAAAAACAAAGATAGGCTTGTCTACTATTTTTCTTTTAGTTGTAAAAATCAAAACCAGACTATATTATTTTTTCTTTTCATTTTATACTCAAAAGTTTGCACATCAACAAACTTTTATAATAATATCATATTTAGTATATATATACAGTATTTCTATATATTTTCGTTAAATAAATGCACTCTGGTATACTTTTCATTAATGTATATATCCGGTATTTTATAATTTGCATGATCGCATACTTCAAAACTATAACTGAATCATAAGATCATGAAACGTACCAAATATTAGATTAGAACTTTTATTTAGTTATGAACAGGGCTGAAGCAAGCGAAGGCAACAAATTTGGGCATGAAATCAAATAAGGGCAAAAGGAAATGAATATAAACGAGAAAAGAAGTGTGGGTGCCAAGAAGCATTCAGACAGTGGATACTAGGTGCAGTTATCCAATTAGACTCTTTCAACCAAATGACGAATAAATCAAACAAATTTGTAGGATTAATACATTTTTATAAAGATGAACATGCTTGTTAAAAATAGCTAAATCAATTTATTCATACAATTCAAGAACTCTTCTTCAGAGCAGCCTGTTATGTAATATCAAGACCAACAAACCAATACTTCTTTCAACTATCATGTTTTTTGAGAAACCTGAATATCATAGCTTTTGTATTGAAAACAGATCACACAAAAGATGATGATTATGTTACTAGTTGTCACAGTCTTGAAACTCAGTTCGTTACACACTTACGATGCAATCTTGGTGTTCATCAATATCCCCAACAGAAAAGTAGTATCTTTAGAATAGTCATTCACATGAGTAACCCTTTATTTTCTTGTCAAAACAGCATTTGGATCATTGTCAACATATGAAGTGGTCTACTCAAGTGCAGAAGTACAAAGAATAAAAATTCTATCATGGTTATAGCAGTAAGAAAAAAGTTTTGTCTAGCTCACTTCATCAAATATCGATAAAAGATGCATGATGGCATATTTTTCTGCATCACTCATAATAGTGCCTTATATACAATATATTTCCCAAAAGCTGCTTTGTATAGGCCAAGCCTTTCCCTAAACAATTTTTTTGAGATTCGAGTTTGATAAACTACATGTCACTTAAACTAACATGACACATCATTCGAGTTTGAAACTTTAAACATTGTAATATTTTTAATATTTCTTTTAATAACTTAAATATTTTCAAATTTTGAGTGTTCGTAATATTTTTATAAAAAAAAAAATATATAATGCATAAACAACAATGTAAATTCCAAGTAAAATTTATAAACACTAGTTAAATCTTACAACGCAAGACTTGTAAAATCCCCGTAAATTTTATAAGGAGTTTACGAAGAAAGGTAACAAGGACATTTCGTCATTGTATTTTACGACAAGCATGTTTCTTCATGAAGATTAATTACAAAGGCTTTACGACGAAACATCCGTTACAACGGACATTTTACAATAAATAAATTGTGTTTCTTTGTTAATTCTTCATAACTCCCAATGAATTAATAAAGAATATATTCCTCGTAAAATATGTTTTCTTGTAATGTTGAGCTTATGTTTTTATTCTCATATTCTTTCAATTATAATTTATGAGAATTTTTTTTCTTACCTTTCACGTATTTTTAACTTTTTATTATTTCATTTCATAGACTATTTCATCATTCCTAAGTTCTAAAGTTCATAATATACTCTCAAATTATAAGAGATGGTGTAAAGATACAAAATAATGTTCACTCAAATTTATTCTACCACTTCTAATTGTTTTAAAATAATATCGAATTTCACTGAGAGACTTTACATAGATTTTCACTAATATATAATTTCATGGAAACATTTTTAATTTGGGGTTAGAGAAAAATTAAAATAATGTAAACCTAGAGTTTTATGTATGTCCGATTCTCAAGAACTAACAAGTGAAAAATACATCATACAGTTTATTTATTACTCCCTCCGTTTCAAAATAATTGTCATTCTAGAGAAAAAATTTCGTTTCAAAATAAGTGTCGTTTTAGAGTTTCGAGGCAAAATTTATTAGTTTTATATGATATTCTATTTTTCTATTGGTTGAAAAATGGTTAGGTGTATAGGTAATTGTGTTTTTATCTTGAAAATATGTAAAATTAAATGTTTTCTTAATCTGTGTGTAAAAACCTAGAATGACAATTAAAATGAAACGGAGGGAGTAGAACTTATTTGCATTTATATCTTTGTTTATAGCCACTTATTTTTCTTTAAAATAGCGTATTTTTAGTTGTGTATTTATATATATATATATATATATATACATTTGATACATCTATCTATATATATGTGTGTGTGTGTATGTGTGCACAAATAACAGTTTGCGAACATAATTAGTTTACTCTTATCTATCTTCGTTAATATCACAGCACAATACATATACAGTAAAACATCTATAAATTAATAATGTTGGGACTACACCAAAATTTTATTTTTTTATTAATTAGAGAGATATTAATTTATAGATATACTAATTAAACCAAAAATTCAATTTGGGACTATAAAATTATATTAATTTATAGAGATATTTAGTGTATATTAATTTATCGAGTATTAATTTATAGAGGTTCTACTGGTTGATTTTCTTAATCTAATCTTAAAAGATATATTCTAACAATTTATTTCTATGGTAAGTAGTACAATAAATACTTTATCTTTAACTTTAGATTTTTTTAATTTTTAATTTTTTTAATTTTTAAATTTTTTTTTCAGACAACCATCTTATATATTTAAGCTGGTACCTTAATTGAATGATCATTATTGTTAACTAATAAATGGTTGTTTGTAAGAAGTATTAAATCTAAATTTTCCTCTAAATTCCTATATCATTTTTATACTTTTTATATATTTTACTTTCACATTATTAAGATGTCATTTTTTGTATTTTGAATATTATTTTGAATCTTCCATATATGTACTTTTCCATTTCAAGCGATAAATGTCTCATAAAATGTATTAAAGAATTTTACTTTAGCATCAAAAATTTATAATATACATTATTATAATTAATTTCAAATTGCAGTATTTTAAAAATAAATTCCATAATTTTATTGTAACCATACTATTCTAATTTAGTATATAGTTGTTCCCCTCTATTTCACCCTCGTAATTCCCTTGAACTCGGAGCTCCAAACTTTATAGTTCCCTTGAACAACGATCAATTATTAGAATAGCAGTATTTTTAGAATAGTAATTCACATGAGCAACCATTTATTTTCTTGTCAAAACTAAGCAGCATTTGGATCATTGTCAACATATGAAGTGATCTACTTAAGTAGAAGTACAGAGAATGAAGAATCTATCATGTTTTATAGCAAAAAGAAAAAAAAAAATTTATCTAGCTTACTTCATCAAATATTGGTAATAAATGCACAATGACATATTTTTCTACATCACTCCTAAAAGTGCCTTCTATACGATATATTTACCACAAGCTGCTTTGTAAAGGCACGCCTTTCCCTACACTGTTTCATTTTGATTTGAATTTGACTACATGAAACTAAGATGCTACATCTATTAAACCTAAATTTTTTTACTTCGATGCAAAATAGTCGTGTATATTTAATTAGTGAAATTACATCCTATACGCACCAATTTTTCTTATTAAGTTAATACTCTAAATCCCACACTATAGTACCTTTGTTGATAGACGATAAACTTGTCTCATCATAGTTAGTTTGTTAATTTTATAATTCTTTTTGGATTTCTAGCCAATTAACTCTATTAGTTAAGCACACACCAATTAATCTAATGTGCAAAAAAATATCACTATCGAATGGTAAGTTAGTGTAGTACTTGATGTCAGGTCCACAAAAAACTAATGATCTATAATGTTAAAGATACACAAACTTTATACTCGTAGCAAATAGGAAAAGTTATGAATCTAAACTAATGAAATAGAAAGAAACAACTAAACAATAAAGAAAATGCAAAGAAAGCCAAGCTCTTAGGTAAGGTAGATTGAAAAATTGTAGACTTATAATGTCAAACATAATCAACTAACAAGTTATAAGGTATGTATCACACTTAAACAGACTAGCAAGTTATATAGGTACTTACATAACATAATTCATATGCTAATCATGTATCAGAGAATAACTTTAATTGGCGTAAAAAAAACATGCATAAATCTCAAATCTCATGTATATTAACTAGTAAACATACCTAGCATCAATTTCTATTGGATAAATATGTAAATTGTAATATTACGTTGGTACAAGTACTTCATGGAACACCTCACGGATATGAAATTACTTAATCTCTAGATCAACTTCTTCAAGATTTAATCTATCATTAAGAATACCTGATAAGAATATAACAATACTAATCTAGTCTTAAGCATCTCAAATAATCCACTCTTTAACCATAACCTACCAAACTTAAATCTCTAAAACCTATGTATTTATGGAAATCCAAAGAGTTGTCACTAATCTTTGAAAACCCATGTTAACAGAAGAGTAAAAAGAATACAACTAAGATAAATCCTTAAATTAAAGAAAGGAATTACAAGATGTTAAATGTTCAAACCAAGAGAAATCAAAATAAACAAAAGGAAAATTATGCTTAGGTAGCTTCAGATTATTCTTGCCCTAAAATGCCTATTTATAAGCCAAAAAGTCAAACGGAATCGACCCAAAAAACCTTGGTCAATGTTAACAAATGGGTAAATCAACTTAGTCAATGTGGTCAACAGGTTTTCAGCAGGGAATCTTCGATCTCTGTACATTTAAGGATCAGTCATTTTATTGATGATAGATTGAGATATTACACTGATATACCATGATTTTGACCAACTTTTAGTCATGTTATATGAGTGTTTTAATAACTATTTGTTATATTATAGAGTATTTTTAGAGTATTTACAGGTTCATGTATGTTCTGGAGAAATATGGTGATTT